ATAGGGGGAAGAGCGAGGGTGATGAGCAGAAGGGAATTCTTGCCATTGACCACACACACAAAGAAGGGAGGGGGTCGGAGGGGATAAATTTTTTGACAAGACCCTCCCCGAATCTCCTCGGAAACCGGGACGGACCCCGCTTAAATTCCGACATCACCCCGATGCCGAGCCCACTTACTAAAGACCGAGACTTTCTACCAAAAATTTGGCAGAGTCTCCCCTGTAAAATGAACATTCCCAAACTTCAACCTGTTCAAAATTACAGTTATAAATAACAAACTGGCAGCATGCTTTACAAGCAATAAAACAGTTTACAACAAAGGCCTCCGGCCTCACGATTTATACCCTCAGCGGGCGATACAGAGCATATCTAAGAAATTCAAATACAACAGAAGTACAGTTCAACTAAAAGGAAAAGGTGAAGGAGTCCCTACGAAGACTCAAGTTTCGAGAGCACTCGGTCCGGCTCGACTGTGGAGCTCAGTTGCTACTGGCTGGGGGCGCAAAACAGAAAATTGTGAGTGGACGAAAATTAAGTTCAGTTCAATTAAATCAAAGTAATATAACCCCACCTTTATAAAAACATGCAACGAATCCAGATGCATAATAAAACCGTCATAAGCAGTGTATAAACATATACTAAAAATAATACCGAAAATAAGAACGACAGGATATTCATATATATATATATATGTATATATATAAATATAATAGTAATATGAAATATAATAATAAGAATATATAAATATAACCAAATTTAGTTGTACCGGGGAAACAATCCAACCGGGGGATTGTTTGACTAGTCCACATGGCAGAGCCATTTCTCAATTCACCATGTGTCTAGGGAATGAGCCGTCCAACTGGGGAACTAACTCTCAGCCAGCACGCACAGTCAAAACTTGTACGCATGAAATACCAGTCCTACACACACAGACAACCCCAAATCCAGGGTCCACAGCAACATCCCCTTAAGGATGTCCTGAAATAATTCCAAGTGTATCCAGTATGAATAATCAAGTTTCAGATCCGGGGAGGCACATAGGATAGTGCTTAAAGCACTCCAAACAGACATATCAATGATCACACCTTTACATAAACTCATATTGACCTCCCAAGGACCCCACACATAACCATATGTGTATATATTCTCAAAACTCAAACATATTATCAAAACTTTATGAAAACCACGAATTTCACATTCGAATATATACCATATTCAATAAACAAAATAAAGCAATATGCCATGTTTTCCATAAATAAAGTCATGCTGAAGTTCTGAAAGAAAAGTCCACTCACAAGTAGTCCCACACAGTTTGACCCGGAGAGAGTCCCGCCTGCTGCGTATACGGGGTAGGAGTACCTGATTCAGAATACGAAAATGCGATTAACATCAAGCACTTCGAAACAGAACTTGAAAATAGGGCCCAACTACCCAATTCGCACGATGAAACAGCCTCGGAAGACACTCGGTCAACCGACAGTCAAACTTTCCAATTCGGGTCAACCGGGCCCACGGCACCCACGACCTCCGTTTTTTAATCCGGGAGTTCCTATAGGTTTTACAAGGTCTAGGATACACGTCCTGCAAGTTTGGTCCGAAACGGAAGGTTAGATCGCTCACGATCACACGATTGGACGGTTACTGAAACCCTAACCCTAGGGTTGGCATTTCCGGAGAATACGAGACTCCATTTTACGGTCTGTCGAATCCTACACGATCCTAAAGGTGTCTAGAGTAACATACTTCAATTTGAAAATGATCCAACGGTCGGAACATATCGAACCCGGATAACGCACAATATGCGTTAATCTGTTCGATAGTCAAACGATCTCCGAATCGAGATCCGCGAAATCCTATGCGCTCGTGACAACCTAAGGATCACACTGGAGTAATTTACAACTCCACCACACTTGCCCACGCCCCGCCACACACGCTGGCAGCAAGCGGGTGTGCAGAGAAATTCCGACGACGGAAAATCTCCAAATCACAAGTCACCCTCCCGGCTACAGGTCCTACTCAACTAGGGGAGCACTTCATTCAACTACGGCCAAGCCCAAAACCGTCGGGAACTGGCCGGAATTTCAAATTGATAACCGGCTAAAACCCTAACTTCTCAAATCGGGTTTTACGCAGCAAAAAGATCCAATCCTAACCAAAGGCAGCTAGAACATAAAGAGAAAGGAAAAAACCTCACCTCAAACACTGGAGAAAGGCGGCGGAGACGACGGCGCAACGATTGGAAAATCCCGAAATGAACCAGTCGCAACTGCCAGCTATTCTCGAGTTTTCCGGCGATGAAAGCTATTGGGTCTTGACCGGGACATCGAGACGAAGCTTTTGGGATCGGTCTCGAGGGCTGAGGTGGCCGAAAGTGGTGGCGGTGTCGATTTTTCTGTTCGGGTGAACAGTAACTCTGGAGAGAGGGAGAAGAGCTCGGGGAGAGAGAAAGAGAGAGTGAGGTAAAACTGAAAACAAAACTGATTTTTACTAATACCTTTTTCAAATTATTTATGGTTTTGCCACCGAAGGTAATTTGATCGCCAAAATTTCGTTATAACTCCGATTCAAGCCTACCGTCTGTCTACGAATTCATCTCAGAACCACCTACGCAAGCAAACCACTTGTGGTCCCAAAATCATTTCGGATAAGAAAATGACCAAACTACCTTGCCCAAGGGTAATTTCGTAAATTCACATGTAATTAGATTAAATACTTTAAATTGGAAATTTACTTGGAGTCGGGGTATTACATTTTTATATATTCCGGGTGCACCACGTGGCTGATGTACCATCCAATAAACATAGGACTTGTGGAATTATTGTTTAACTTACTACATTTCTTTTTATAACATGTGGCAGTCTGCATTGCAAATATTCCATATGTCTTCTGTTTATTAGATGGTACATCAGCCACGTGGTATACCCGGAACACCCAAAAATTACCCGAAGGAGGGGTCGTCGTCGTAAGTATAGCTAGGTATTTGATATTGAATTTCCCAAAAGGACTTTACGGGAGGTAAGATTCTTCCACGTGTAGGTTTTTTTAACTCGGGTAAATTTATGCTAACTCATAGCCAACTAGTGTTTACTTAAGGGTGAGCTGACGTCAAACTTCGAAGCATTTGCCCGTACGTTGCATATGCTATATATTTGACGTCGAACATGCGGGCCAGCACGGACAGAAGGCCCTTAGTCCCCAGAAACAGGGCCGGTCCATTGATTTTGGAGGTCCTGTGCAAATATGGATGTCGAGGCCCTCTATATACAAGTAGGAAAAAAAAATCCATATAGAAACAAAAATTTCTGACACGGAAAGAGCTTTCCAGACAAATTTCTTTAGTCACTCTTCCAAATCACAGAGCTGGTAAATTGATTTTCCAATTTCAATGCTTGGTGAATTCTCATGTGAATAAGGAAGGGAGAAAAGAACTGTGATTTTGGGGAAAGGGCTAAAGCTTGGGTTTTTACAATCCAAAATTTGATGGAAGATGGTGGTACACTGGTACTGAAGAGAAATGGCTTTATTTTGGTGGAGGAGAGTGAGAAAGACTTACTAAAAGAGAAAAGAATATTAGAATGATTTTGCAATTTGATAGTTGGGAAGAGGAAAACACAAGTTTCAAATCATAATAAATAGATAAAAAGAAGAGTTGCAGCGCGAAAGTTGGGAAGAGGAAAATGAATTAAATTAGGGCCTCTACTCTCTAAGTCGTAGAATTTGTTGATAATTAATATTCAATTCAATTTTGGTTTTGGTGCCTTGCATGTGGTCTCGTGGGGTGATATTTAATATTTCATTTTTATTTTCATGTTTTAGTTAATTTAATGGGTTAACTTGGAAAAATTTGGAGGCCCCTAAATTTTGGGGGCCTTGTGCGATCGCACACCTCGCACACCCCATGGGCCGCCTCTGCCTAGAAATCAATTCCAACGGTGAAGGCCAGTCCGGGTAAGAAGTGCGTTCTATCAGCCTAGACAAGGCCGAAGGCAAGATTTACATGGGCTGTTGCTTGGGTTTGCTGATGTCAGCATGACATTAGCGACCAATTTAAATACCCAAATTTTTTATATTAAAAAAAATCCAAAAATTCAGAATTTATTATATATAAATACCTAGTCATGTTTGTAATTGTAAACCTAGATGGATCAATATTAAAACCCAATATGCATGATTGATATGTGATTTAATCCTTGTACTACACAGCAAAAATCAAACACACAACAAACTGAGAAAATAAACGAAGCACAACGTATTTGTACGAAATCTCGCACGAGGAAAAAAACCCTCCACACAGGAGAGAAAAACCTCAAGGCACACAGCCAATTTCACTAAAAACGTAAGGACATATACAAGACTCAATTGATACTTTCTTACACCACAAAAGAAGATTGATCAAATACTCTTGTCTTGTACAAACACGTCCTCTTCACTTTCTGTTGGATGAACACCAATTCACGCAGGTTGATCTTCCTCACAAGCAAAGCTTCCGCAACGTTCCATGATGAATGAATGATATGTTATGCTCTCAGACTATCACCTAGATAAATCTAAGAACTTAACAGCCTTTTATCTCTCTCCCTTGATCTTATAAAACAATCTCACGATTTTGATTAGAGTGCAAAAAGGAGGTGTACAAAAAAACTTTCAGCCCAACCCTTTATATACTAGGTTAACTCTTTTACCTAATAAATAAAGAGATTGGCCTTATTTAAACCACTTTCTTATTTAAGACTCTATGAAGATTTGTATAGACTTTACACCAACTCAATTTTTAATTGGGAAACCAAATCCAATATGAATGCAAATTATTCTTACCAGAAAAGACCTTTGCGGTGTAACACTAGTCAATCATGCTCCTCGTTTTTCGCAAGCTCCAACCGTTGCAGGTTACAATTAATTCTAAGACTAGGAATAAGCAACTTACAGACTCTTTACATTTGCTAGGAAATAGCCAACTAAAAGTACACTTTCAATGTTCTTTACTTCCCGCACCAAAACTTCATACAAATTCCTCTCCTTAGATCTCATGTGAATAGTATTTGTTTTTACTTACCATGGCAATGGGTGGAAAAACTAAACAAAAAAGTGCAAGCAGTCACTATTCATGTGAATAGTGTCTGCCCTTATTTGCCATTGCCCTTTGTTATGGCACGATGGGTGGAAGTAATCTAAGTTCCAACTGTATTTATGTTTTAACTTCCTTACTTTTCCTTACCTTTGTCATGTTATTTGAATTTTGTTTTTCCAAACCCAACTTTTTTTTTTCTTTATAAATCTTTACTTATTGAATTTACTTAGTTACCAACTAGACAAAAATCTCTCTCAGTTGGTATTTTCTGACCCTTTTTGACAAAATTCCAAGCTTTGTCATGCCAAGTTCGAGAGCCATATTGGAAGGGTATAAAATTTCCCTTACATGAAAAGTTCATATCTATGAATTAGTGTTGCATTCCCAAATATGATTTGTCAAATATAGGAATGTAATTTCTTACCCATTTTCAAGCTCTTAAACATTGAATAAAATGAGCCTTAAAGAAATATATATTTGTTTTGGAGATGAAGCGATCACTATTACATCATGGGGATTCTATCTGGTGCCATTCCCCATTGGCAGCCTAAGGATATTCTTTGGACACCCATGTTCTGAATTCTAGTCCAAACAATGTTTTCCATTCTTCCACCCCTCTATTCTCACAAGTATAAAGCCCAACACGAACACTAACCACAAATCTGGGTATAGAACCCTATACAAATCATTCAAAATTAAATAGTTGACAGCAGCAAGGGGAGCATCCCAAATATATGAAGACTTAAGGGTCGTTTGTTACACAAAACTATTTTGGCATGAACTATGTTTAGGGACTGCCTTAGCTTGGTTTAAATTGAATAACATTTATCATGCGTTTGGTGTATGCTTGGACTATGACTAGGACTGTATTTTTTTTTATTTTTCAAAGTATATATATACAGATAGCTTTTCTTTGCCTTCAGAGAGAGGGACTTTGGGTTTGGTCAAGTAATATTTTGACAATTTCAACTGGGCTAAAATAGATTGCAACCATTAGTGTGCCGGCAGAGGACCAAAATCACAAGGAATAAAACCATACGAAATTATATTTGCACTCAAGGATATACTTTAGACACCCATGTTCTAAATTTTTAATCCAAAGTTTTCCATTTTCCCATTTTTATTAAGTTTTAACACTGTGTATGACGTGGAATTCGTTGCATGACAAACATTAATCAAGAAATTATACAAAATAATATTTATTAATTGGAAATCATACAAGCAGGAAGACATATCCTTGTGGAATTTCATCTAGATCAAGCTACTACTCAACTTTTACAAACATAAAAGGCACCGTGAAGTTGCAGTAGTGCAGTCTAATATATCTCCTCTCTCTCTCTCTCTCTCTCTCTCTCTCTCAACATTAATATTAATTATAGAAGTGATTGCAAAATATGAGTACAAGGCCTGAGGCCACGTAGATGACAGATGCAGTACATTTAAACCAGAGAGGAAAAGGGATTGTAATGGAAATGAAGAAGGCGGTGACTCCGAAAAAGACCCCAAAGAAATGGAAGAGATGAGGTGTTATTCTTGGACAGTTGGAGTGCTGAACAAATTTGCTTATTATGATGCACGCAAAGGCGAGTAGGACTGCCAGTCCGAGAAAGAAAAAGCTTAGAGGGAGCTTGCTGGGGTCAACTTGGGTGCGTATGAGAGCCATTGGTAACACCTGTTGACAAGCAATACACCACAACAATCTTTGCCCAATCCAAGTTCCTAGCTGCTGCTGCTGCTGTTGTTGCAGATGGTTGCGGTTGGGCAGCTGGAGCTTCTGGGTCACCGAGATCATCAAGACGGCTCACAATGAGTATTATTTTCTGGAGCAATAAATGGAAAGAGGCCTTTAGGGACTGATAATAATAATAAAAAGAAGCAGTGCAAGTATTGCTCATTTTTTTCTGCATGAGCTAGCTGTGGATGTAGGTGAAACCGAAGACGGTGACCTTGATCTAGCTAGCTTGAGAGCTCAATGGAAAATATCAGAGCAAATTAAGGAGGGTATTATACTGAGGTTGGGGGAGGGGGGGGGGGGGGGGGTTTTGTTGGGGTTTCCGCGAAGTCGATCCATTTCGCAGTGGGGAAAAAATAAGTCAATTGTCATTTCATTGGGGTATGTCCGTGTGTAAAGTCAATAAGGGAGGGGGGATTGTCATTTCATTGGGGTATGTCCGTCTTTGTCTTTGTGTAAGTCAATACGGGAGGGGGGATTGTCATTTCATTGGGGTATTTCCGTCTTTGTGCGGGTGGTCCTTTTCAATTCATTGGGCTTTCCTTTTTTGGGGTGAGACACAGACCTTGGGCTTTTTATTTGCCTTCTGAGAGAGGGACATTGGGTTTGAGCAAGTAATATTTTGACAATTTCAACTGGGCTAAAATAGATTGCAACCATTAGTGTGCCGGCAGAGGACCAAAATCACAAGAGATAAAACCATACGAAATTATATTTGCACTCAAGGATATACTTTAGACACCCATGTCCTAAATTTTTAATCCAGAGTTTTCCATTTCCACATTTTTATTCATTTTTAACACTATGTATGATGTGGAATTCGTTGCATGGCAAATATTAATTAAGAAATTATAAAAAATAATATTTAGTAATAGGAAATCATACAAACATGAAGACATATCCTTGAGGAATTTCATCAAGATCAAGCTACTACTCAACTTTTACAAACATAAAGGGCACTGTGAAGTTATTACAGTAGTGCCGTCTAATATATCTCTTCTTCTCTCTCTCTCTCTCTCTCAACATTAATATTAATTATAGAAGTGATTGCAAAATATGACTACAAGGCCTGAAGCCAAATAGATGACAGATGCAGTACATTTAAACCAGAGAGGAAAAGGGATTGTAATGGAAATGAAGAAGGCGGTGACTCCGAAAAAGGCTCCAAAGAAATGGAAGAGATGAAGTGTTTTTCTTGGACATTTGGAGTGCTGAACAAATTTGTTTACCATGATGCACGCAAAGGCGAGTAGGACTGCCACTCCGAGAAAGAAAAAGCTTAGAGGGAGCTTGCGGGGGTGAACTTGGGTGTGTATGAGAGCCATGGAAACTCCTGTTGACAAGCAATACACCACAACAATCTTCGCCCAATCCAAGTTCCTAGCTGCTGCTATTGTTGTTGCAGATGGTTGTGGTTGGGCAGCTGGAGCTTCTGGGTCATCGAGATCATCATGACGGCTCACGATGAGTATTATTTTCTGGAGCAGTTCCTTTAGGGACTGGTAATAATAATAAAAAGAAGAAGCAGTGCAAGCAGTGGCAGAGTCAGGAATCTTACCACAAGGGGTCTTAGTGTAAAAGTCCAAATAAATTTTTAGGATGGAAAAACATATTGAAAATGAAGTCATAGTACTTTCATTCATAATTCATAACGGAAACAATATTACAAGCTATAATTGTCCACGACGAGGTTTCATATTTTGAAAATGAAGCATTATAGCTTCATTTTCAATACAAGCAAAAATATCTCTCTCAATATAAACAAGAAGGCTACCACTCAACAATTGATCTCCCATTTTGTTCCTAAGTGGACCCTTAACAATATTTATGACAGAAAATGCCCTCTCCACTGAAGCAGTTGCAACTGGTAAAACTAAAGACAATGTGATGAACAAATACACATAATTGAATACTTGATAAATCCTTGTCTCCACCATTTTTTTTGCAAGATCATCAATCCCTTCCAATTGAGAGAAATCACTACTAGAATGCACATAATGAATATAAATCTCAAGTTGATCTTCAAGTACCAAACGATCTTCATCCGAAAAGTCTTGATGATAAAATTAAGCAAGACGAAGTAACCTTGGTTTATCAAAAGCTACAAATGAATCTTTCGGTCTCAAACATGTCAAACAAATAAGCAACTCGGAATTTACCTCATTAAAGCGATCCTCCAACTCCGTAATTTGCTCATCAATGACATAAATAAAGAGCTCCACACGATAATGATGATGATTTGTCTTTATTGGAGCATTACGCCTTGACCTTCCTGGAAGTATAAATGCATCTTCCATGTTAGGAACATCAATATGATGTTTGTAACAAAAAGAAGATACTTCATCAACCAATGCATCGAACCCATTATTCCTCATACAATGTAGCTTTTCCTTGCATGATTTCACTAAAGCCATTGCATTCACAATTTCTTGATCCTTCCTTTGCAATGCTTGTGACAAATCATTTGTGAGTCCCAATATGACTTTCATCAAGAAAAGATGAAACACAAACTCAAAAGTACGTATTTCTCTCATTAACTTGTTTGCTTCACCCGCACTTTCATTGGGATTATCATCAATAACCATTTGAAGCACATGAACCACGGATGAAAACATAGAAATGATGCTAATCAAGGTGTCATAGTGTGAGTTCCATCGTGTGTCACCGGCACATTTGAGACTTGTTTCTTGATTTAAGTCTCTCCCCGTTATAAGGCAATCATTTTCAAAAGCTATCACAAGCTCTTCTTGGAGTTGCTCTCTAAGTAAATCACGCCGCTTACAAGATGCTCCAACATGATTAATCACACTATTAGCCGTTGTAAAAAAAGAGGCAATGTCTATATTCTTCTTTGCCACGGCAACAAGAGCTAGTTGAAGCTGATGAGCAAAACAATGAACATAATATGCACAAGGTTGCTCTCTCAATATTTTTGTTTTAAGGTCATTCAACTCACCTCTCATATTGCTAGCACCATCATAACCTTGTCCTCGTAGCTTGGAAAGGCTCAAACCGTTGCGAGAAAAGAATGTGTCAATAGCATCCTTTAGTGAACTTGAAGTAGTGTCCGTAACATGTTGGATACCCACAAATCTTTCAATTACATGCCCTTTGTCATCCACATAACGCAATACCATAGTCATTTGCTCTTTCACCGACACATCACGTGCTTCATCCCCCAATATTGAAAAGAATCTATCTTTTAGACCATCCATGATAGCATCAAGTGTTTCAAGGGCACATGAATTCACAATTTCTTTTTGAATGCAAGGAGCTAGTAATTTGAGATTCCCCGGAGTATTTTCCATCACAACTTCTCTAACTTTATCATTATTATATGTAAGGAATTGCAATAACTCCAAGTAATTTCCCCTATTGCTTGAAATAGCACTTTCATCATGGCCACGAAAAGCAAGACCTTGTCGCAATAAAAACTTAGTGCACTTGATTGATGCATTCAAGCAAGTGCGATAAGCCTTACGAGCTTGGTCAGAGTGTTTGCTCACTGCAGTTTCAATATGTGTGTTTTGATTCATCAAATTTGTAGCAGCTTCTCTAGCTTTGTTATGAACACTCCCAACCGGTCCAACATGCATATTAAATCTTTCTCTCCCTTTCTTCCAATTCTTAAATTCATCTCCAGTGAAAGCTTCACTACCCACTTGTTCAAAATTGGTTTTAAAGAGATAGCAATAGAGACAGAATGCCGCATCTTTAGATATGTTATACTCCAACCAATCAAACTCATCAAACTAGTGAGGAATAAAGCGTCGATTAATTCCTGACATATTAGTTATTGGAAAATTATGACCTCTAGGTTGACAAGGTCCTTTTTGTAGATATGATCTTTGGACCTCATCTTTCATATTAGCATCATAATCTATCATTCGAGTTCTTAATCCAGGGTCCGATTGAAGATTACCCAAACCACCATCTAACTGACTTTGTCTTGAACTTGGAGTTCTTGAAGTACCAACATTATTTGAACTAACAACATTATCTGAACTACCTGAACCTGATGATGACTTTCTCTTAAAAAACCGTTCCATAATAATTCTACATATACAAAATAATCAAAATAAATACTCACAATATAAACAAACCATCAACATAATCAAAATAAATATGAATTGGATTTCAATTAAATTAAATATATTCTACATATACAAAAACTTGCAAAATAAAACTCACAATATAAACAAACCATCAATATAATCAAATAAATATGAATTGAATTTCAATTAAATTAAATATATTCTACATATACAAAAACTTGCAAAATAAAACTCACAATATACAATATAATCAAAATAAATATGAATTGGGTTTCAATTAAAGTAAATATATCATACTACTACATAGGGTTTAGAACTTACTTGGATTGTGAAATTTCACAATTAGAATGAGTAAAACAAAGAGAGTAGTTGGCGGCGGCACCACCACACGGCGACGACACAGCAGCACAGAGGCACTTTCCAGTGGCGACAGCAAGGGAGGAAATGGAGTTGAGGGTTTAGGGTTTGAACTTGGAGGAGAAAGCAAAAGAAAATTTGGGGTTTTAGAATTGGAATCGGGTCTGTGGAGAAAAAAATGCCTGGAGAGGACACGCTGGTCCTTTTTTAATTTTTTCAGACCTGGCCAAAACGACATAGTTTTGGCCCAGGGATTAAAAAATGGCTGGAGAGGATACGCTAATCTTTTTTTAATTTGTTCATACCTGGCCAAAACGAAATGACGTCGTTTTGCCAGGTTGTTTTTAAAAAAAAAATGGGCGCGCGATGGGTTTCTTCTTCAGCTTGCAACTGATGGTTCTTTCAGGCCATTCATCGACCACTTGGTGTGCAGCTCCAAGAGGTCGCACCAGCACCCTTCTTCAGCTTGCAACTGATGGTTCTTTCAGGCCATTCATCAACCACTTGGTGGGCAGCTCCAAGAGGTCGCACCATCAGCTCCAAGGGACCTCTAGGCTTATTTCCATGGCTTCCAAGAGGTCGTGCGACCCCATTGACCCCACTGTGGCTCCGCCTCTGAGTGCAAGTATTGCTCATTTTTTGTGCATGCGCTGGCTATGGATGTAGGTGAAACCGACGACGGTGACCTTGATCTAGCTAGCTTGAGAGCTCAATGGAAAAGATCGGAGCAGATTAAGGGGATT